CAACATTCTTTAGTGATATTCCCATCACTCCGATCATGTTTCATACTAAGACGTCTCAGACTTACACATATACCAACATATAATAATGGTTTTGAATACCTTGGGCTTGGAAAGGGCATATGTTACCAGCTAAATGTAAATACGCATATAGCAGGAGTTCCGCGTACCAGGCCGTAATATTGGTGTACCACCTGTATGTAAGTACGTAAATTATCGCACTCTGAATATGTGAGGACAATAAAATCGTGAAAGTGTCAGATGTCGCCTTTTTTCCATATGTTTTCATCCTCGTCGAGAAGCCCTGGGAACGAGGTTGATGTGTTTTATATTGCGCGACCAACATTACGCAATCCTTGGTTTTCTTTAGACGCTTCTGAGCTCCCACGTTTGGGTTTGTTGCGTATTTTCTAATTTCTATCCAAATATTAATATTTGGTTGGTGTTTCAGAGTCTGGCACATGACCCTTAAAGACTGATTGATTAATTGCAGTGTTTGGTCATGCGACTGCACGAGTGCACGTGCGCATAATAATTGACCACCTACAATTAACCCTATATTTGAACAGTTTAAACCTTATATTTATAGACAAGCACAACCCCATATTTGAACACTTACAACACTACAATTAAACACGTACAACTCTAAATTTCAACACGTTCATGATCAACCCTATATTCGAACACGTTCAGCACGGTATAAATATTGTAGACAAAGATACCATTCCCGGTTTACAAAAATCAGTAAAATATTTTAGATTTTGTAATCACGCGTTTGTTTTCAGACCAAATTGCACTCCACTCAGTTCCCATTATATATTTCTGGGGAGGGATAGGCACGTGCACAAAGTTGTTGGCGGAGAAGTAATATTCTCCCTCCTACTATGTTGTACCTGACATGACGTAAGCAGAAGTGAAGAGGAATGAGAAACATCTGGCATCCAAATATTTCAGTCACATTTAGTGCGATGCATTCAAGTGTTTTCATTTTGTTTACATTCTAGTGATTATTCCAATCGTAGATAATATATATATATATATATAGTTTTTCGTTTTACCTCAAAAAACCACAACAGTCTGTTTCATCCGTATAGGAATCACCTGATGATTCCTATACGGATGAAACAGACTGTTGTGGTTTTTTGAGGTAAAACGAAAAACTATATTACGCTCTATCTATATGGTATTGAGCACTGTTTGTGTTTCGTAAACCAAAATCTTAAGCTATGTATATATATATATATATATACACAAGATAAAGATAACATGCATGGCCATTTAAAACGTCATTTTAAAAGAAAATATATATAGAATATATATATATATATATAGACAAGATAAAGATAACATGCATGGCCATTTAAAACGTCATTTTAAAAGAAAATATATATAGAATATATATATATATATATAGACAAGATAAAGATAACATGCATGGCCATTTAAAACGTCATTTTAAAAGAAAATATATATAGAATATATATATATATATATAGACAAGATAAAGATAACATGCATGGCCATTTAAAACGTCATTTTAAAAGAAAATATATATAGAATATATATATATATATATAGACAAGATAAAGATAACATGCATGGCCATTTAAAACGTCATTTTAAAAGAAAATATATATAGAATATATATATATATATATAGACAAGATAAAGATAACATGCATGGCCATTTAAAACGTCATTTTAAAAGAAAATATATATAGAATATATATATATATATATAGACAAGATAAAGATAACATGCATGGCCATTTAAAACGTCATTTTAAAAGAAAATATATATAGAATATATATATATATATATAGACAAGATAAAGATAACATGCATGGCCATTTAAAACGTCATTTTAAAAGAAAATATATATAGAATATATATATATATATATAGACAAGATAAAGATAACATGCATGGCCATTTAAAACGTCATTTTAAAAGAAAATATATATAGAATATATATATATATATATAGACAAGATAAAGATAACATGCATGGCCATTTAAAACGTCATTTTAAAAGAAAATATATAT